TGAAATTTATTAGATAATTATTAATTCAAAAATGTGACCACAAATTAAAAAATTAAAATGGATAAATTTGTCAATAAAATTAAAAAATTTTAATCCACTAGCAATTTGGTACAAAATGCTACATAAACTAGTTTTTTCAATCCGCTAGCGATTTGGACTCTAATCACTATCTGTTAGTTTCAAACCGCTAAATAAAAATTTTACCAAATACTTTAATTGTAGCGGTTTCGAAATATATAAATTTACCCAACACCTATATTTAGCGGTTTAAGTAAAACCGCTAATCACTACCTTAAAACCGCTATACTAAACGGGGCCTAAATCAAGGAAGAATAGTTTAAGAAATGAAAAACATTAATTAATAGAATACTAAGCATATTAGGGATATTTAAGAAAAAGTGAATACTTAAGAACACTAAGTATTGAAGGAAAAAAAAAAAAAACAAAACAAAATACCGTGAGTAAATTTAAGATTTTTTCAATTCTTTGATATCAAAAGTTTAAAGTTGTTTCAATTCTTAGCAACTAAATCTAAATGTTTTATTTGAAAGATTTTTTTAATTCAAAATTTGATTATAGGATATATGTGTTTAAATTATTTAGTTTAAGCTATATTTAAAAAAAATTGTATTTTAAAAAGATATATCAATTTTTTTTTATTTAATGTTAAGAAAGAAACATTAAAATGATCTTGTACAATACAAGTGTAACACAAGGGTATTTGATCATATTTAACAATATTATAATTTTTTAATTGAAAAAATAGAGAATATAATTTAAATCCTTGAATAGGATAATAGTAAAAAAAAAAGAATAGAAATATTTAGATTATGAGATAAAAATTAATATCAATCATTTTTTAAATTTTCTTAATACTCCTTCCTTTTAATATAGTTATATATAAATTTTTTTTTAAAATACTCTTGTTAATTATTGAACACAATCTCCCACCCAACTTTAATCGCCTAATTAAAATCATTTAATTAAAAGTCATTATAAAATACAAGAGTTAATAAAAAAATTTCAAATTCTAATATAAAAGATTAAAGGAAAATCCATGCAATCACAGGCGAAAAAAATTAGTTGTAAATAAGGCATGCAAAAATGGGTCAAAGCAATTTAATGAGGTTGGTAAGCAGCTGTAGTAATTGGATAAAAAAATCAGTCCATTAATGACAATTGAATTTTGTACAATAGACAACAGTAAAAATTCCAATTTTATACAGTGTGTAATAGTAAAATGTCAATCAAGTTATACAAATTTAGAGTACATGCAAACTCAGCTGTTGGGATTAGTCTCAACACCCATTTCAAGCCACGTATTGCAAGTTCAATCACACATCCACTAGGCCAAGGTGGTGAGACATGTCCACGTGGGCAGTAACACGTGGACCAATCAGGTGAATACATATTTGGCCTCATGTCAGCAATTGGGGCTATAAATACTCCCCAACTACCTCTGATGAAGGTAATGAATTTCTACACTTCTCTCTCTGTAATTACTCCTTGAGAGCATCTCTCTTTAGAATATCGAGTATTGTTGACTTGAGTATCGGAGTGTTTTCCCCGAGAAAACATCATCGGGATTTTCAGGTGTAGAAGCAGCTAAGGACTTTAACAGTGTTGTACTATGAAGCTGCCCAAACATTTGGCGCCGTCTGTGGGAATCTAAACAAGAAGTTGTGTAGCTTAACCTGCCAAAAGACAAAATGGTTTGTACTTTTACAGGAAGTCGCCCTTCAAGAAACGAAATGGACGGACAGGATGACACTCAACTGTCTGAGCCCGGCTTGAATGATTTTAGGCCAATGCCAAGGAACCTTTTTGTTGGAGGAGCAGAACAAGACCAACTAAGTGAAACGAATGATGATGAAAGAACACCAACCGGGTATGCAACTTAGCCTGAACAGTTCCAAGTTCCAACAGGAACAAGGCAAAGACATCCTAGACCATACAATTCACAACATGAACGACTTGAAAGGTCAACAGAGCCTGCTCGGACAACCAAGCTCGAAGAGAGGACCAGAGTTCTCAAAATGGCAATGGGTAAAATCCTTGCCCGCTTGATTCCTGATGACCCCCTGATTCCTTTGCTGAACAGGGATGCCCAGCCAACTGCAGTAGTTGCAACTCGTAACTCCCCGATCCTAAGTAATGTGGTGGTCCCGACAAGACCAAGGGGAAGTGGGAGGTTAAACCCGGAACCCAGCTCGTCCAGACATAATGAAGAACTGCTAAAGAAAAATGCTGACCTTGAAAGACAGCTCAAAGACGCGCAGAAATCCATTGACGAGCTGAAAAGCCCTAGGTCATATCAACAGACCCTTGACCTAGATAGTGCCTCACTAAACCTATCCATCACAACAGAACCATATCAGGAGGGATTCAAAATCCCCCACCTAGAGACATACGATGGCTCAGGCGACCCAGATGAGCATCTGCATACCTATCAGGCCATCATGAGAATCCAAAATGCCAATGACGCCATGATGTGTAAAGTGTTTCCAGCGACACTGAAGTCAACGGCCAGAAGATGGTACCATAAGCTCTCCAGACATTCTATAGACTTGTACTCCCAGCTTGCCAAACTATTCTCCAATAAATTTGCAAGCCAAAGGGAGATTAAACATACAGCGACCAA